CCCCCCCCCCCCCCCCCCCCCCCCCCCCCCCCCCCCCCCCCCCCCCCCCCCCCCCCCCCCCCCCCCCCCCCCCCCCGAGGATGAAATAGGTACGGTTATCAGATATTCACCAGGAGGATAGCGTCACCTTCTGCAGCTTTGTATCAAGCGACTAGACAATACCGAGTATTAGTGAGAATTAGCGAATCCACTACTGAACACAGGCACGAGTTCAATTGTGATGTAGATGTGTACTCGTTGGGTATTGCAAACCAGAACAATAAGGGTTGGTGGCTGCATTGTATTGCATAGAATATTGCATTAGTGCACTTTGTGTGCAAGGGAAGCTGACATTCACAGCCCAAAATGTTTCCCAGAGAGCTCCAAAGAAAAACCACAAGTCATCTTGAACATGCGTATAGTTCTCCACGGTGTTTTCCCCCCTTGTAACTACTCTTCACTCTATGATTGCCCTCAGTGCCGGTAGCTCTAGTATTGCGCTTATTATCCGTTGCTATTGTATGAATATTCGACCATGAATGATAACTGTGGAGTAGTGTCGGCCTGGTGAGTTGAGAAGTTCACTCTCACTGAGTGATACTAGGTTCTGACTTGATATCTTGAAGATGAGTATTGCAACATGCCGAGGTGCGATTGGTCAGCCGGGGTTGAGATCTGTAACAACCAGGAGCCGGCCGATCGGCCGAACTGCATCGTCGGCCGGACCGGATTGGGAGCTTCGACCGTCGGTGTGAGCCAAAAAAAAGAAAACCCCAGCTGAGTACCTCGGCTTCGAGACACGGAAACTAGAGGCGTCCAATCGGTCTCGCACTCGTTTATTAACCACGATTACAAGTGGCTGCCTGGAGAAGTGTCTATCCGTGTGCTGAGAAGAGTAAAAAGTCTCCTGGCGAGGTATTATTTCTGTCACTCGAGAGTTTCACAACGTATCTGTCTCCATCCCGAGAGCGGCATGCGAGGCCCGCCGTGCCATCCACAACGCCCTCCACTCCAGCCCCCTTGTCCTCCGTCCCCGAGCATCCCCGTTCCCGCCTCAGGGTCCCTTGACAGCTGAAGGCTGCAACCAGAGACAGGGCCGACGCGGCCGGTCAGACAAGACGAGAGGAAAGACTGATTGTTGATCGACTTACAAAGCCATGAGTGGACGCACCCCCCTCATACCTCGGCATGGCGTCATGACCGATTAATCAACCCCACGCGGGAACGGAGACGAGACGCAGCAACCCGCTGCTAGCCACCAGCAGAAACAAATGTCAACCTCTCAAGAGACGAAGAAGAGTGACAATCTCTCGGAGCAACCCATGACGCCGGACCACCCCTCCTCCCCCGATCCCCATCACGCCAACGGGGTTCAGCCCCTCCAAAGACCCTCCTGAAGGTGCACATCCCGATGGGAAAACTCTCCGTTCTCCATCATTCGCCAACCCGTCGGCGGTGACTCCGGGGGAAACGGGAATCGGCCACCAGTTCGCCCTTCGCCCTCGCCCGCCGCGCTGCTGGTGTGCGGCCAAGAGGCGCAGAACTTGCCAGAGACACATAAGACGCGTCCAGGCCCCATCCCTACTAGCCCGTGTCCCGTGCGCCGGAGAACATTCCTCGATCGTTCGTCGAGGCTCGGAGCTCTCGCGGGCCAATGTCCCCCTTGGGTCGTTGTGCTCCGGCGCGGGGCATTGTTGAAGTCATGACATGAGCCAAAGGTAAAAAAACTCTGAGAGAGAAAATTGGTGCCGTTGAGCTGTCAAACGGCGATGAGCTTGGAGGGGTAACACCGACCGAGGGAACGAGTCGGGCCATGACTACTTTAACCCCTCAGCCTCTCCCATTTCTTGTGTTTCTTGAGGATTTGAAAAGGCCAGAGGAGTAGTAGTTGTAACAGTTTCCCGTCTTCTTATACCCCATAATCCATTGATAGAATTCCTTGCGTCTTTCTTCCTTGTTCTCACAAAATCCAAATTACTCCAAAATGTCTCAACAAAACCTCTCCGTCGTCCTGGCCGAGCGCCCCAAGGCCGAAATCGTCCCTGGCCAGACCTTCAAGACTGAGCAGAAGCCCGTCCCCAAGGCCGACGACCTCAAGGATGGCGAGATCCTCCTCGAGAACTGGTACCTGAGTCTCGACCCCGCCATGCGCGGCTGGCTCAACGGTACGCATCATCTTCCGTCTCGCAGCCTCGTCCACTCATGCTGACATATCCCCCCTCAGACAAGCGCTCCTACCTGCCGCCCGTCCAGATCGGCGAGGTCATGCGCGGCGCGACCGTCGGCCGCGTCATCGCCTCCAAGTCCCCCAAGGCCAAGGAGGGCGACGTCCTGCCGGCCTTCGGCGGCTGGTCCGAGTACGCCGTCCTGCACGACAGCCGCGTCGAGGACGTCTCGGCCTTCCCCAAGGTCTCCCAGCCCGTCGACTACCTCTCGGCCATCGGCATGACGGGCCTGACGGCCTACTTCGGCATGCTCCGCGTCGGCGACCCGCAGCCCGGCGAGACGGTCGTGGTCTCGGGCGCGGCGGGCGCCACGGGGAGCGTCGCGGGCCAGATCGCGAAGCTCAAGGGCGCACGCGTCGTCGGCATCGCCGGGTCCGAGGATAAGTGCCGCTGGCTCACGGAGGAGCTCGGGTTCGACGCCGCGTTGAACTACAAGGACCCCGAGTTCAAGCAGAAGTTCAAGGAGGCGACGCCCAACTACATCAACGTCTACTTCGACAACGTCGGTGGTGAGATTCTCGACATGGCGCTGGCTCGCGCCAAGGAGCACTCCCGGTTTGTCATGTGCGGCGGCATCAGCCAGTACAACTCCGCCACGCCCCAAGGTCCCAAGGTAAGCGCATTTCCTCGTTCATGTTGTCAAGTGAACAGCTGAGTCTGACTGAATCATAGAACTACGCCAACATCATCACGATGCGCATCAAGATGCAGGGCTTCATCGTCTTCGATTTCGTCAAGGAGTACCCGCAGGCGCGCAAGGATCTCGCGCAGTGGCTCGAGGAGGGCAAGCTGAAGCGCAAGGAGACGATCATTAAGGGCGGCCTCAAGGCGGCGGAGCAGGCCCTGGTCGACCTGTACAAGGGCATCAACACGGGCAAGCTGATCGTCGAGATCAAGAACCCCAAGGATGCGGCCAAGTTGTAGAGAACTGGTTTGTGGATCGGCAGCTTCGCTGATGGATGACTTGATGACTTTGTATTTTTATGCATAATGACCATGACCTTAAATTCAAGGGTTGCCTGAATGGCGGACGAAATAAAATCATGAACGATCACGCAAATGGACTTGAGGTTTTAATGACGATGTTACTTTGCAATCTATTCAGACTATGTCAACCGTATTTAGATATCACCTAATTATTGTGCTTACTCCGTAGACGGCGCCTTTCATACAAGGCCTCTGACTCTCCCATATTCGTGTGTGACGAGATCATCTTTTGACCAAGTTCAACATTCCAATCCATCATTCAGAGCTTCAATTATTTTCCTATCGACCTTTGGCACGGATTAAAAATGAAGCATTTCTTATTGTTCGGATTTCTTCCTGTGAATTCTTCCTGTCCAGGTACCCATTTCACATTTTCGTTCAAGTCGTGGTACCAACTATTTCTCAGATCTTCTCACAACACCACAACGTATTCTTTCAGGCTCAAAAACTGTTAAGACAGCTTATTTTTCATGTCATCTTGAGTCTTTTGGAGAATTAAGACAGGATCCAGGTTGGTGGAAGCCATCATAAGATGTCGTAGGCTGAGACCACCGCATTGAAAAAAAAAGAGAATCTCACTGATTAAATAAAATAATTTTAGAGTAATTCATGTTAAACAATCATTCAATGTAGACTACAAGTCATGACCATCGCAATCTTAAACTCATGGCTCTGGAATCACTTTACCCCGTCTAGATGCAACAATGCCGTTATGCAGATATCGTACCTTACATATGCCCCTTAGGTGCGTTAAGCAATGTGACCCACTTCGTCCGAACCCGAGCTTCCTGCCGCTTTCTCGAAGCATCGTCAACAATAGGAACTTCAATTCTTCACGACTGCTCGCCCTGTCGACGACACCTTTCCAGCGCAAACGTGCGCCTCTCGCGGTATTCAGTCCCCGTCAGTTCCCCCGCAACAAAAGGCAACCTGCGACATGGCACCCTTACGTGGCTGTGCCCGGGATTGAGCCACAGGTTAAGATCGTCATTTGCGGCTGCGAAGGATCATCCCAGCGATCGAGATTACTCGCAACCTTTTTCCACGATGCGAAGAGCCTCCCCGGCCTCGAGTACGATTCCTGAGCTCCAACGTGCGACTGCGACGACGTACAAACGACGACGCTGATTGTGACGGCACTTGCATTCCTGGAGCACCATCCCCTGCCACCATCGCGACCAGAGTGAGACATTCTGCCGCACCCGAGAACTCGACTGCAGATACGATAACCAGCCTCTCGTTGACCATGAAGATATAATTGTTACGACCTCAAATTCTCGATTTTTCACTCGATCTGAGAGGCTGCTCAGAACCTCCTCGACGACGAACGAGCGAACATAAACCCAATCTCCGACCAAACCTGCCTCGCACTCGAACTGTTTGAACCACTTCTCCGACAATACATAACTCGAAGACTTCACTGCAGCGCTGCTACGTCGAAAACCATCACGATGCCTTTATCACCAGAACAGGCCGCCCACCTCAACCGGCAAGCAAGGCGACGGGCTGAACGAGCGGCAGAGGAGATGTCCTTCGGAAAGGTCAGCTCAGAAGACTATCTCAAAAAATTGCGCGCGAAAAGACGGCCCGGACGGCCATTCGAGGTGGAAGAGATACCTGCTGCGGTGGAAATCGAGGAGGAGGACGACGACCCGGCGGTTCCGGCATCCAGACATTGCTCTACAAATACCAAACGTTCGTCCGCACCGCCACGCGAAGCGATGTCGCCTCGGCCATCTCGGGGCTCGAATCCCCATAGGGTTCCTACGACCTCCAAGACACGACAGCCTAGTATCAAGCCGACCACGAGATCATCTACCAGAGCGAGTGTATCTTCGCGGACATCACTCAAAGAGCGACCCAAGAGTCGCAATGATCTGCTCAAGGTCGCACAGCAGCCGTCGACCACCACCTTGGGCTCTACTCGCCTCTCATCAGCATCCATTGCATCACGGTCGAGGTCCACGTTGAGCCTCATTAAGCCCAAGAAGTCAGTCCGCAGGGCGAAATCCGTCGCCGCAATACCATCAAAGCTAGATTCTGTCGAAGACGAGCCAGTGCGGACAAAACACCAATCGAAACATACGCGCAGTCAATCAGCTCAAACTATCATCTCGCCAGATTCTACTTTGCCGCATGGCACCTTGACCAAGAGGAGTTCCCTGCGCTCACTGAAAGATAAGATCCGAAGAGTGGCCAGCGCATTTGAACTCCGCTCAGCGAGTGACGAGAATAAAACCAAGGGCGATATGACTTTGCAGCACAACAAGTCTACCCGGAGTCTCCTGCGGTACTCGGCCACTCGTATTCGCCGGCGCCACCTCGACACTGTTAACGAGGAAACATGAACGCACCCGAGTCATGATACGATCCAGCCGAAAACCATACGCATGATTGAGGAGTTTTTGACGCATATTGATGAATGACCAGCGCATTGCAGGAGCTATCAGGGTGAACAGCACGAGGAGGAATTCTGTTTTACACCGGAGTCGCGTCATGGCAGTGACATCGCTTTGACGGTTTCACAACGAGTTGGTGTCAAAATGCGTCGATCTTTATTCTTTTCTAATGATACCCGGCCTGCCCGCTCTTGATAATGAAATCCGTTATTGTTATTGCATCGATACTTCCCTACTTGACTGCTATCATGCCTTCAATCGTTCCTGAAACTGGTGGGAGAAGGGGTAGTCGATGTACCCGGTCGGAAGTTTCGGCGTGTAGAAGTACGTCCGCTCATACTTTTCCAGGTCGATGCCCTCTCTGATACGGAACACGAGATCCGGATTCGAGATGAAGAAACGGCCAAAGACGACGGCGATGTCGTACTTAGCATACGTCTCTTCGGCGGCCTTTTTCGCTGCCTCCGCATTCAACCCGCCGGCCAGCAAGACGGGACTCGCATTGTCCCACAACTCGACAAGCCACTTCACCGTCCGCTGCCCACCCGTGTCGGTATCGTCATTACCGCTGATTCGCGCCTCGATCAGATGCAGGTATGCCAGGCCCAGAGGCTTCAGTTGCTCAGTCAAGTACCTGAACGTCGGATCCGGATCGTCCATAAGCATGCCCTGGAAGTCGCTGTACGGACTCAATCGGACAGCCGTCTTATCAGCACCCACGGCATTGATGACGGCCTTCGTCACCTCCAGATGAAATCGCGCCCTCTTCTCGATGCTGCCACCCCAAGCGTCGGTCCGTTTGTTGCAGGTGTCCTGGAGAAACTGGTCCGGAAGATAGCCGTTGGCACCGTGAATCTCGACGCCGTCGAACCCAGCCTCGACCGCGTTGCGGGCGGCTTGCGCATAGTCTAGGATGGTCTGGGCAATGTCCTCCTCACTCAACTCCACTGGCGTTGGTCCGTCCTGAGTGATGGGGACGGCGCTCGATGATTCCAGATTCAGGCCCAGTTGCTGGCAGACGTCGATCCTGCCGCCACGGCCAAGATGCCAGAGCTGGCAATAAATGAACGAGCCCTTGGCGTGGACCGCGTCTGTGACTTCTCTCCAGCCGGCGATGTGCTCCTCGGTCCAGATTCCCGGCACGTTCCACCTTCCGGCGGTGCGGCGGGATATCAGAGTTCCCTCGGATATGAGCAGTGTGCCGGGGACGCAAGCCCTCTGCTCATAGTACTCTGAAAGTTGTCATCAGCCGCTCCCAGTCGGTGTCGAGACAGGATTCACACTCACCCTTCATCATCGGCGTGGGTGTCCATTGGTCGTCTGCGCGGTATCGCGTCAATGGAGCCAGCGCTAGCCGGTTCTCGAGTTGAAGGCTCCCAAGCTTCAATGGTGCGAAGAGTTTCGACATGTTGATGATGGGTTTTGTCACTTGCGGTCACTGGAATCAAGGACTCGGTCTGAGATACGAGAGACGTTAAAAGAAGCATTCAAAGCGCAAACTCTACGGATTTCATACAACGTTGCCCATGTCGCCATCGACACCAACATAGGCCAACGCTACGCCGTAGGGCGTAGGATTCCAGACCCCGCCGCATCAGACTTGCCGATGGATGCCGTCGGAATGCCTCCGCCTTCATCCCATGATTGAATTCAAGCTTCTTTCAACACCACATCATGTAACTACTCATCCAACTCCCAGCTCGTTCCAGTCCCCGAAAGACTCGATATTCATCGATATACGGCATAATAATCGAGTGGGCGCCAGCAGCATTTCCCAACACCCACTCAAACTGCGGCGGACGCTTATCGGCTCAAAATGTGCCGACAAAGGAACCCGGACTGCGATCGGCGAAGGTGGGCTGCCAATCCCCATCGGGCCTCCTGCCGACATATCCTTAGTGGACCGCTCGCTTCGGACTGAAGGCATTTCCATGTTGTTTCCACCGACCGTGGCGTTGACGCAATGGATTTTTGTAAGCGATTTAGGGGTCCTGGGGGCCGAACTTGCGGAAGACGTGAGCCGGCGCGATTCGGCACCGACATCTAGGCCTGTAACGTCGAGTTGGGTATTATTCTTCTTGGGCTTTGTAAAATTCTGTCAAGTCTCACCGCAATGTCCACGATCTCCTGAATACCTCCGCGCCATGTCAAGATGAAGGAAGATGCACCAACTACGGGCATCAAAGGCGCCGAGCTCAACTCGAGGGAAGATGCCTCCAGCAGCGACGAAGCCAACGTGCCCGCACCGACAGCTCCACGGCCAAAGGACGACAGTGATGCGGAGAGCGTCGGCGGGCAGAGGAACACCATGTCGCGGAAGCGCATGCTGCTGGCCTTCTCCGCGTTATCAGTCTGCTTGTTCGTCTCCTTCATCGACCAGACCAGCGTCTCGACAGCAGTACCCGCGATTGCGGGCGACCTCGACACCGGCACAGCAACATCGTGGATCGGGACCTCGTTCCTCATCGCCTCGACGGCGTTCCAGCTCATCAACGGCCGGCTGTCTGACATATTCGGGCGGAAGAACCTCCTCATGATCTGCCTGGTCTTGATGGCGGTCGGGGACATTCTCTGCGGCTTCTCCAAGACGAAGGAGCAGCTCTTCGCGTTCAGAGCCATCGCGGGTATCGGCGGCGGCGGCATCAACAGCATTGTCATGATCATTGTCAGCGACATCACGACGCTCGAGAACCGCGGCAAGTATCAGGGTCAGTTACTCGTGTGATGATGTTAGTGAAGGAAGTACTGACGCGCTACCACAGGCGTTCTCGGAGCCGTGCTGGCCCTCGCAAACGGCGTCGGCCCCTTCGTCGGCGGCGCCGTCGTGCAGGAGTCAACCTGGCGCTGGGTCTTCTGGATGGTCCCGATCATCAGCGCCCCGGCGGCCTTAACCATCCTGTTTTGCTTGCCGTTGAAGCATCAGTCCGGCAACTACGCGGAGAAGGTCAAGAAGATCGACTACGGCGGCATCGCGCTCAACATGGCCTCGGTGCTGCTGCTCCTGATCCCGTTGTCGGGCGGCGGTGTGACGTATCCGTGGTCGTCGCCGTTCGTCATCGCAGCCGTCACCGTCGGCGCCGTGTTGGGAGTCCTCTTCGTCCTCTTCGAATGGAAACTCGCCAAACTTCCCATCATGCCCCTCCGCTTGTTCAAGGACGCTCACTGCAGTTATCTGTACGGGCAGACGTTCCTCATGGGGCAGGCGTACTTTGGCAACCTGTTTTACTTCCCGATCTACTTCCAGTCCATTCTCAAGTACACGCCCCTCGTGGCCGGCGCCCTCATCCTCCCCGTCATCATCTCGACCTCGATCCTGTCCATCCTCTCCGGACAGTACATGCTCCGCGCCGGCCTCTACATGCCGTGCATCCTCGTCGGCTTCTTCCTCTGGACCGTCGGCAACGGGCTCACCATCATGTTCGACCGCGACACGGGGCTGGGCGAGCTCATCGGGATCCTCATCATCGTCGGGTCGGGGATCGGGCTCACCCTGCAGCCGACGCTGGTCGGCATGTACGCCAATTCGCGGAGCGAGGATCGCGCGGTCACGACGGGCCTGCGCAACTTCATCCGCACCATCGGCGGCGCGTTCGGGCTCGTGGTATCGGGCGTGATCTTGTCCAACACGTTGAGAAGGGACTTAAGCGGGAAGGAGTTCGTCTCGGACGCGGTCATTGCGGAGCTCACGTCGTCGACGTACACGTTGGACCAGAAGGGGTTCTCGGAGGAGGAGAAGACGGTGATTCTGAAGGCGTATATGAAAGGGCTGCACTACATCTTCATCTACTACGTGGTCTGCTCAGGCCTGAGCCTGGCGCTGACCTTGGGGGTGGGTAACACGGGGTTGAAGGCGAAGAAGCCGGCCGCGGTTGAGGAGCGCGTGGAAGAACGCGTCGAGCAGGCGATGGCTCCTGGAACGGTTGAGCTGGAGGACGAAAAGAAAACCGGCGTATGATCTTATGGAAACGTTTGGAGAGGAAGGCTGCATACAAAACTGGGCATCGGCATCAAGCATAGCATCTACAGCATCTACGGAATGGGACAACGGCATCACAGATTTGTTCATTGATAATACGCCAAGCTCGCCGTCACTAAATCACTCGAGAAGTGGCACAGGAAGTGAGTACGGTAACGTTTCTACGAATAGCTAGGTCATCAGATGAGGCCTCTCCCTGAGACTGAAACTCACGCCTCTGTCCCGCAACTGATTATTCGCTTCCGAATCCAACCCCATCCGTCGCATCAACATTTGCCGCGGCCTGGGCATTACCTCAACCCGCATGCTCCGTTATCTCTTACCTAACACCGAGACATCAATCGGTGCCATCGCCGACCCCACCGTCGGGCCCTCCGCCTTATCAGCATCTCCTCCATGGGGCAAAATCCCCCGAGACCCCAACGGTTCGTTTGGCCCGATGCAAAGCTACTCCAACCAACAAGCCCC